TGCCCCCGCAAGAGCTCGGGCTGGCAGGGCTTTGTCTTTTATTTAAAGTGCCTGTTGTTGTCTGTCTTTCTCTCCGGCAGCCGCTGTGCGGGTGGCCAGGCTGGCCATGCGCTGGGACAGACGGGAGCTGACCCAGCCCCACAGCCCCGGTGCATACGCTGTGCCTGCTCATGGCCGGTCCCAGGGGGAGCGGGGACACTCGGGGCTCTGTGCCCCCATGCTGGCTGCCCCCGGTGTCCCAGGCGCTTGGGTAGGAGATGGGAACCCAGCCCCAGCACAGGTGTCCTTGGGTGTCCCCCGTGTGTCACCTCCAGCACCTGCTGGCTCCGATGTCCCCGGCAATATTAGGGCCAACGCAAGTAGCTGCTCCGGCACATGAGGCTTGACCCAGACTTTGAGGTTTTCCTGCTGTAAGTAGGTCTGCAGGGCTCTGGCACCTTTATGCTGTGACGAGAGTTGACTGGTAATGTATTTGGGCTCAATAATCCTTCTTGAGGAGGTTCTGCCAAAAAAATAACCCTTTGGGGCTATGTCATGTGCCCTTCTTGTGGGACAAAAGCAGTGCTAGTTCAGGCTGTGTTGGTGTGCCCTAAAACAGAGAAAGAGGGCTACAAATCTCTACAGCTTCCCATAGCATCTTCTTGTTATTTTTGCATTCTGGGGCTGAAAGTGAATGGCATTTACAAGTCTCCTGTCATTTTAGCAGCATGCACATTGTGGTTTTATTGGCAAGAACCTGGAAATCTTTTTGGCTTCGCCACTCAGAATTTCTTTAAAAGTTTTTTTCCTTATTTTTGTGTTTACCACCAGCAGTGATTGTTACAGCTGAAATTTAAGAGTTAACATCAGGCTGTCAGTATCAGCCCGAAGCTTTCTCTTGGCCTAAATATAGCAAAGGAAGACTGATTCTCTTCAACTAATGGCCATCAAAAAGAACAATATGTATAAGGAGGAATTCTAACTCAAGTGGATTATTGAGTATTCTGCCAGCCTATAGCAGCTGTTCTGTGCTGTACGTTGTACTGGTATTATTTGTGATGAATGAAATGCAAGGTAAAGGATTTAGGTTTGTTTGCATCACAGTGATGTTGCAGCATGAAATTAAAAGGCAAACCGAGGCTAGATCCTAATGTTAGTGCGAGTTGTCCTGGTTTCATCAAAATCCATAAAGCGGATTTATTGCAGTTCAGATAAGAAACCCACTGCACGAAGGACATCTGCAAAGAGAGAAATGGTGACTCCTGCTCTCCTGCGGGCTTCCTGAGGCTGCTATAAAGTAGGAATTGTATTCCCACATCAGCTGCTCCATTATAAAAAGCACTTATTAATGTGACCTAGTTTTTACCCCTTTCATTTTTACCATATGGTTTTGAGAGTTTGGTGTTTTGGCTCTTAAACATTGTATGATTTCTGAATGGGACCTAATGGTTTGAATCCATCCATAGAGGAAAAGAAGAAAACCTTGCCTGATAGCCTGCAACCTCTACTGGGTCAGTTTGATGATGGTCTGGCGTGTGTTGTTTTCTGTATTCAGTAGAGCGTGCTCTGTAGCTTTCTGTGCATACAGATACAGCTTGCATTCCCCCCCCACCCCAAAAGCTCCTCCTGCTGCTATAGCCAGAACCGAAGCCTGCTTGTCTTGGCCCTCTAAACTTTCCTTTCCTTAATGGTCCTTGCCCCTTTTCAGCTCAGCCTAGGAAAACAGTCAATATGCACTGATGTATTTGGTGTCATGTGCATGAGTAGAAAATAAGGTTCCTGTGCTTTCCATTATGGGGTATCCAGTGTCCTTGGGAGGCAGAAATCATCTCTGCAAGGCCCCTTCCCATAGCTTAAATGGTGAAATGATATCAGAAAGCAGTGTGGCTTTATACCCCCCCTTTCTTGGTTGCCTGGTGGTCTGTGGCTCCCTTCCTGTTTGGCAAGCAATTCCAGGGCAGAGGCTCTTTCTTCTTTAGCTCTGCTCAGCCCCAAGGGTACTGTCGTGCTGGGTAGGTGGGTGTGAGAGTGACCAGGCTGGTCCTTCCTCCCCTGAAGGTCAAACTGCTTAAACCAAAGCTCTCTCCAGCAGCCAGCATGACCTTGGTGCCGGTTCAAAGTGCAGCTCTGATGAATAAATAGTGGCATTAGACAAACTCCCTGCTGGGCCCATGGTGGAGCAGAGAGGGAGGGCTGGTGTTCCTGCCTCCGTAACCGTATGTCAAAGATCCCTCCTTGGCTATAAGCCCCACTGCCATAGGTGTTGCAGACCTGAGGTGAGGGTGGGCTGCTTGTCACTGTAAGACTTGACCCTACTGGAAGGGGGATGGCCCAGCGCTCCCTTTTCCTCCTGTGGGCACTGGCACTGGGGCTGCTCATGTTGCCCGTCTGGGAGCTGGTCCTCCTGGAACCTGGCTGTGTGAAAGCAGAGGAAAACAAGTGCCCTTTGTCCTTCCAAAGAGCTAGACAGCTGATGAGCACCTGGTGTTGGCACCAGAGAGACTGAGGGTGGTGGGACAACCCCTTTGGCAGGACCACATATTTAGGTCAGTTTAAGGCACCCGTGAGTACAGCGTCTGAGGATTTGCTGAGGGCTGGTTGCCACAGGAGCTCCTGTAAAATCCTAGATATGTTTGGGTCTGTTTGTGTCAGCCCTCACTGAAACCAAAGCCTTGTAAACAAGGGGCTGTGCTCAGGTTTGAGTCTGCCTGACCAGAAGTATTGTTGCATCTCTGCGTTTGTCCATATCCTTGTTGATGGAGAATAACAGAAATGGTAGAGCTTAAAAACAGCTGTATTACAACATAAGATTCTTTTTCCATGTGATCGTGGAGGTTACTAATTAGTACTGTGTTTTGCTATTGGTTTAACTCCTCCAGTGGGCACAACTAGGGTGCTGAAAGCAGGACAATTGGCTGTTCCTTCTAAATCCCCTGCAGAATTGCTCTGTTCATACAGCAAAAATTGTGTTGCAATATCTTAAATACTGGGAGAAGAAGTTGTTTAATATTTTCATCAGGTTGTTAAAATGTAATATTGGTCCCAAACTATCAGAAAGTACAGATCTTTATTTCTTCCCTCGTCTCGTATCTTAAATACTGGGAGAAGAAGTTGTGTAATATTTTCATCAGGTTGTTAAAATGTCATATTGGTCCCAAACTATCATAAAGTACAGATCTTTATTTCTTCCCTCGTCTCTGACATGGGCAGAAGGTTTTGAGAGTTATTTAAATTCCATGGGTCACAAGATCCCATGGCATGCATAACTTAACCTGTTCACAGATCCAGAAGTATGTCATGATTGAATGACTTTACATACCCAACTTCTTTAATGAAGGCCTAAATCCTCTAGCTGAACCAGAGCCTAGGCTCTCAACTATAAATTATAAGCCCCAACATATTCAGTTGGAAGAGTGTGTTAAGCACCCAGAGTGGAGATTTCAGGCTCTGTAAGAAACAAGCACACAAATGCAGGTGTTAGGTGTCTCACTCAGTAAGAACCAGTATTACTGTGAGGCTGACTGGCCTGGCTCAAGGGCTACCCCTTTGTTTCCCATAACTGTACCATTTTTATCACTAAAAGAGGAACAAAATGATATGAAAAGGCTCAAAGAGAACGCAGGGGAGGAGCAGAGGAGCAGATGTCTGAAAAATGTTTCACTTGGGCAGACCGAGTTGACTTTCTGAAATTTCTTGAAGGTGCCAGATGTGTTGAGTAGGTTGTGAAAGAAAGGGGAATCTCACACTCCTCCCTCTTCACTTCCTCTAAAGTGAATTACATTTTCTTTAGTGAAAAGCAAGAGTATCTCACAGATCTTCAAAGTATCTACTCTGATCTCTCCAGCTGGCTGGTAGACAGCACAGTGTACTGGTTGGACTGTGAATGCATGATTCAGATTTAAGTGACTGCATCCAAGTCACATGGCTTCTTCAGCTTCCTCTTCAGAGTTGGATATATTTCCTGAGACACACAGGTTTTTTCTTGCAAGATAATTGGGTAAAATACTGCAGAGGAGAGGAGGTATTTTTTGTAGATATTACAGCTTTACAATGCATTAGAGGTCTGGTTTTGCTTATGGACAGGTGGTTGAGAATCAGGTGACTGAATTATCCTTATTTACTCTAGCTGCTTTGTTAAGATAACTCAATAAAGGCTAAAAGGAATTTTTCTATCACCTGCTTTTAGAGCTTCTCAAAATCCTGGCTTTAAGGCTGTTTTGCAATATCCAGGGCAGTGCATCTCTTCTCTCTGGTGTCTAGAAAGAAGAGCTGTCTCTTTCTTCTCTGCACTGTGCCATTGCTTTGCTTGTTTTTGTGCATAGTAGTAGGTGGAAAGAGGCCAAGCATTTCTAGCCCCCACTTTTATACTCCAAGTTGTTGTTGCCCATGCAAGTGGTTTTGCTTTTAATCACTAGGCAACATAAAGGGAAAAAAAAAAGTGGCTCATCTAAGGAGGCAGGTTTTCCTTTTCTGCACAAACCATGGGCAAAGAGAAGAACTGTTTATGAAATTCATCTGGTTAATAAACAGTATAACAGAAGACAGCATGTAACTCCTGGTTAGTGGCTTAAGTGAAGCCAAGGCTCCAGCTTACTAAGAAAGTTCTACTACCTGCCAATGCTGGTGGGAGTGTTGTGTAAGAGCTGAGCTCTCTTAGCTTTCTAGCAGGCAGCCAGCATTTGAACTGAAGCTTTGCTTGGCCCATGCAAAACAAACTCTAAGCACTATGAAACCTCCTTTGTGAAAGTCAAGGTGTACTAATGGGAGAGCAGTAACTGTGAAAGCTGTGGCAAAGAAAAAAGTATTACATAGTTTCAGCATTTTGTTTTTCTCCGTGACTTTAACTGAAGGGATTGCCATGCCTGGGTCACAGCAGGCTAAACTGGCTGTTAGAAGGAGATGGAGTTACATAGAGTGCTGTAGCCTCCCTGCTGCAGTTGTGTCTCCTCTTCAGACTTCCAGTTGTTTGCACTGTGGTGTTCACTGTTTCTCTTTCCTTCTGCTCTGCTTGTCCCCTCAGCCTTGAGTAGTGCTTGGCTGTGCTCCTCCTGAGCACTCCTTGGGAAAGCAATAATGATCACGTTCATGAACAACTCGGACAGTGAGGAGGAGCCCTGCAATGAGAGAACATCCCTGATGTCCGCAGAGAGCCCTCCAGTACCCTCCTACCAGGACGGCCTGCAAGCCTCAGAAGCAGGGGAAGTGCAGGCACATAGGGTAGGTATGAATCCTTCCTGGGGAGTGAAGAAATGGGGTGTGATGATAGATGTAGTCCTGCTACCCCTCAGTCCCTCCCAGCAGATGATTGGCTTTGGCCAGTGTTGTTTCTCTGGTGTCACTCTCAGCCAGCAGCTGTTCCTATTTCCTCTACTGACTTCCCCACCCCTGTTTTTATCTCCATATGTACTCCTCCCTTTTCCTTCCTTTTGGTAAAGATATAAGCTTTTAATCAGGGCCTGATGCACCTATGACTCTTGCAGGATATCCTTTTCAGCCTTCTTGTTTTGCCAGAAACCCTTTGTAAGCTCTGGTCAAATGCAGCTAACGTTAGAACAGAATCTAGTCCTCCTGCTAGCGAAGCAGTGGGATAAAGCAAGCACAGCATTGCTGTGGGAGGAGGACCCGATCAAGCTTATGCCACCTCAGATGACATTTCTTCTATCTCAGTTCTGTGCACATTGCTCTTGATGTGCATGTGTCCCTCTATATATTTGCACTTGAAGAGGCCCTTAGACATTAATGGCTTTGGTTTAAAAGCTCCACTGCAGCCTGTTTTCTAATTGTATTGTTCATTTGGTACTTTCCTATTAGGAACAAGTTGAATGGTGGAATGAAGCTTTGAACACAAAGGAAAGAAGGTCTCATATATTTGCTAATATTTCTTTTCAGAAGAGGCGCACAGGTAGCAGCCGTAGCCCTAACAATATTGCTGATGGGGATATGTCTGACTCGGGTGTTCCAGTGAGAGAAAGCGCCTTGGAAAATGAAGAGGAGGAACTGACTCTGAAATATGGAGCAAAGCATGTAATCATGCTCTTTGTGCCTGTCACCCTTTGTATGATTGTTGTCGTCGCCACCATAAAGTCAGTGCGCTTCTATACGGAGAAAAACGGGCAGCTGTAAGTGGGGTCTTCAAAACAGCCTCTGAGTAGGTGGGATCTCTAGCTTTACACATTGTGTCCATGTACACAGAGTGCTTCCTTGGCAGGCTGGGAGAACCTTTACACAGCTAAAGGGGGCTGCATAAACTCTTTACTAAAGTGTGCTACGTTCATCTGTGTAAGTTTTTCCGTACCTGCATTATACTGATTCATTAGCATTGTCATTAGGGCGCCCTAAGCGAAGCCTATGAGCAGTGTAATAATGAAGTTGCTTCATACTACAGCATAAAAGCCCCAGGCTGAACTCCTAGTCTGTTCACCCACTAGCTGGCATCAGGGAATAGCATGTTCATTTGGATGAGTGTCTCATTTCCTGATGGCATTTCTGGTTCCTAAAGACTCATGATGTGGAGTAATTCCATCCAGCTCTTGCTGACTGTGCCTGAGAGCACTCCTGGGGCTCTAACTCCTCACAGCGGGTGGAGAAACAGGGACTGTGGTCCCTTGAACTGAACCAAAGTAAACAAAATGGGGGGGGAGGGGGGTGTGCAGGGTGATGAGAAGGGATAAGAGAGTTCAAGACTCTTGTACCAAGTGTGGAAAGAAAGGGTCCCCCCCCCTTTCAGGACAGCACCTGGGATGTATCCTCATAAGTATCATGGAGAGCATCCAGAGCATGCAATAAAAATTCATGGCCTGGAGAGAAGTTACTACACTTAGTCACTTATACTCTAGGTCTTTTTGATTAGAGCTCTGCCAGCCACAGCTTCTCTGTAGGAATGTACTTTTGATAGAGACCACTAATCTTTAGTTGATAATTAACTGGAGCCAGCCCCTTCGGAGGCTACATCTCATGTTTGCTGTCCTTGGCAGTCATACTTCCCTTTCTTTCCCACACATGGAGAGGTCTGGTTTTATCTTGGGCAGTTAGTTAGAAGAGAATATATGTACTTTGTATGTCTTTTGCTTTATACTGCAGGATCTACACCCCTTTCAGTGAGGATACCCCATCTGTGGGCCAGCGTCTCTTGAACTCGGTGTTGAACACCATCATAATGATCAGTGTCATCGTTGTAATGACAGTGTTCCTAGTGCTGCTCTATAAATATCGCTGCTACAAGGTAAAGCATTGATGCCAGAGCCTTTTCCACCTGTATGCTGTGAACCCAAGTTCAAGTGGGGCTTGTGTGCCAGTGAGAAACACAGGCACTGCACTGGCTAGTCCACATCTTAGTCATGGTAAAAATCATATTGCACAGAAGCCTTTGCCAGCAGTGGTAGAGCTGTGCCCCTGAATATGCTTTGCTGTTACTTTGTCACCAATGGTAGGCTCTTAAAAATGAGGCCTGCTACTTTGTGTTAGTCAGGTCTGAGTCTTCTCCATCCGATCACAAAGTTTTGTGGTTTGTACTTCTGGACTAAGTTGTACTATTTACTGTGAATGCCTTCTCTTAAGAAGTTCCAGAGAAGCTTTGTGGGAGCTGGTCTTCTTCCTGCCTGAGGAAGCTCTGGTGGAAGGGGACAAGGCTTGGAGGGAAAGGCACACTCAGGTCTTGCGGTACCCAGGCAACTGTTCTATGCGGTACCAGCCCAGCATTTGAGCACTGGTGATTGCCACTTTTTAAACTTGGCCCTGAGATGGATTTATTGTACAGCCTTGGGCAAACCTCTCCTCCTCCCCACCAAGCAGGGAGAATGTGCTTGCCTCTGTCTAAGCTAGGAGCCAGTATGAATATCCATGGAAATGGATAGGAAAGAGACTTAAAAAAACCAACTCCAAACAAAAAAAATCAAGCATCAAGGGACAGAATATCACACAGAATCATAGAATCATAGGGGTTGGAAGGGACCTCAGGAGATCACCTAGTCCAACCCCCAAGTGAAAGAGTATGAAGTGAAAGAGTTTGGGAGAACTGGGAGCAACTGGTTGTCCCTCCTCCCACATTAGCAGTGGGGAAGGCAGGGTCTTTGGAAACTGGAGGAGGGCAGGAGGAGGCTGTTGGACAATAGGAAGCTCTCTCAGCAGTTTATGCAGCACTGCGACCTGCACGAGAGGTAACAGCCCCTTCGATCACTGTCTCTTCTTGCCCTTGACAGTTCATCCATGGCTGGCTGATCCTGTCCTCTTTGATGCTGCTCTTCCTCTTTACCTACATCTATCTCGGGTAAGTGGGAATGGTGCAGGTAACCTGGCAGTTCAGGGCTCAGTCACCTATTTGCAGAAAATCCCCAACTTGAACAAGGAAAGGAATGTCTCCTCTTCTCCAAACAGAGGTTTAAGAATTGTTAGAATGAGGAAGCTTTCTTTTTTAAAAAAATGGAAGATGAGGACTTTAATAGGCAATGCGTGATTTTTGCAGTGTCTACTCTACAAAAACCACTGGGAAGTGATACTGTGAGCATGAAATGAACAGCCTAACCTTGTGGTACAGAGGCCCTGAATTATATGTTGAGAAGCAAGTGGAAAGGAACTTTATGCGCTGAGCTGGTTCTCTTGATTTGTCTTGCCTTTTTCTCAGACTACATTGTTTCAAGCTTATTCCCTTAGCTGTCAGCTCAGGTAGAACCAAGCTTTTAACTTGCAGGAGATGCTTGTTAAAACTTTCCATCTTCTAACTATGAGCATCATGCATTTGGTGGGATGACTCTCACGTGATTTCTTTGCTGCAGATGGTCATGTAGCCACAGGCCTATGTTAAGACTTGAAATCCTGCCTGGTCAAACCTGTGGAATCACTGTTGACCTCACGACTAAGGCAGTGTGGTGCTTGTCTGCACACACAGCACGTCCATCTCCTGCGGGAGAAACAGAGAGCTAAGAGCAGCAATTGGCTGTGAGGCAGGTTCCCCTTTCATGATGAGAGCTGCTTCCTCCTGGTGTAGTAGGAGGCTTGTTTGTTTAACTACAGCTAGTAGGATTCTTTGCATGCTAATTGCTTTTATTGCTCAGCTGAATTTTCTTGTATTCCAGTGAAGTATTCAAGACATACAACGTGGCCATGGATTACCCCACTGTATTCTTAATCATCTGGAATTTTGGAGCTGTTGGAATGATTTGCATACATTGGAAAGGTCCCTTGCAGCTCCAGCAAGCATATCTCATTATGATCAGTGCTCTAATGGCGCTGGTTTTCATTAAATATCTACCTGAATGGTCAGCATGGGTGATTCTAGGTGCAATCTCCATCTATGGTAAGTCTAGGTTGTGAGTCTCGAGGTGTGGCTCATGGAGAGGTTACTCTGAGGCAATCTCAGGAGTGTGTTTGTCATTCAAAAAACAACTTTATGGTGCTAACATCTTTAAAAAGAGGCAGATGGGCAATTAAGTTGACTCCCTGGCTTGTCTCTTGTTAACTTCTTCATGCAGGTACTGTACTCCTACCATGTCTTTCAAAGTGGAACACCAAATCAGGGAAGTAGTGGAATGCATCTAACCGCATGGTAGGGGCGGTTGGATTTTTATCAGTAGCAACTTGATAGTCTTGCACGTTTCATTTAGGGTTATCAAGAGGTCATGGATTTTGTTATGAGTGAAAAGTTTCAAGAGAACCTGCAGAACAAGAGGTAGCCAGAAGGTAACATTCAGATTGGTGAGGAGCTCTGACAGGGCAGAGAGGGTAGGCAAAGAGAAACTGGACCAAAGGCTTTCATTCACATGAAACAGTATCTGTGTATGTAGTGATGGGTTGGGGAATGTGAATGAAGTACCCCTAGTCCTCCTCTACTTAAATTTAACCCCTCCATGTAATGCTGTCATTTACTTTCAAAGAAATAACGTGGTATTCTCAAGAGGCTTTTTATAAGATTAGCACAATGACAACTCTTATTATTACACTAAGCCATGGGGATGGTATTTTAAGTGAACAACATTTTCAGGGACTAGAACAACTAGAATTATGCAAAGTGGCAGAAACTGCCATTCAGGAAATCATCCAGTTAATATTGACAGATGTAATTTTGAGGGGAGAATAGCTTTTTAAATATAAAGAATGTAAAATATGCATGATAGCTTGAGATGAAATTGTCTGGCCCTTTTTTTCTTTGCAGATCTGATGGCTGTTCTCTGTCCCAAGGGGCCATTGAGAATGCTGGTAGAAACTGCACAGGAGAGAAATGAGCCCATTTTTCCTGCATTAATATATTCCTGTGAGTAAGATTAGAACATTAATGTTTTTAACCAGATTAAACTCGCAACCTATTTCTGTGTCAGACCAACTAGCACTATTTTAGTTACTTCCTTGCTGTAAGATTGGTGTGCATTTGTATTCTGGAACAGACCATTTCTAGAAGGCCTTGTTCATCAGTTACAATAGTGCTAACTCTAATTAGCCAAAGGGAGCCCACATTTGCCTTGTGAAGCTAAAATGTTCAAAAGTAGATTGATCCTTTTGTGAATACAGTGCAGAACGTGCCCCTTTGTTCCGCACGCAAAAACCTGCGTTAGATAGACAGCCGTGTTTGCAAAGTTCTGTGATTAGGTGATGCCCACTCAATACACATATTCCTTGTGTGTATGCTTTATAGACGTGCTTTAAATGTGCGATGAGGTTCCATTCTTCCTGTAGCCTCCTCTTGCTCTGTGCACTGTATGGATGGCAGTGCTTAGAATACATTTGCTTTATTGTTCATTGTGTGGCTGCTCGCTTTAAGGGCTCTTTTCAGGTATTGTGCTGCAAACAAAGTCAGTTGTCTCTTCCTTGGCTTTCTTGGGCTGTTTAACTGCAATGGTGTTTGGTGCCCTTATCCACAAAGGTATATGTGTGCTTAAGATTAACACAGTTGGAAGGCAGGCGACTCAATGCTCATGGGGCCTGGACTCAAGTGCTTCATGAATCTCAATCACTTTTTCATTATGTCGCTTGTAAGGTAAATGGGTATTTCCTAATGTTGGGTGCTAAGCTGAGGATGCCTACAAAACCTGATTGATCTTTTTTTTTTCTTTTTTTTTTCCAAGCATTTAATGTTATATAAATGCTTCTATACGTTCCAAGCAGAGATTCTGTTGGCTTCAACTGACTTCCCTTTTACTGGAGTTATACTGACCTGAGACAATCTAGATTAAGGCTCCCTCATGTTTGAGTTAACAAACAAGAGTTTCTCTAAACGAGAGAGCAATTCAACAAATAATAAATACTGAACAAAAAGTTATTTTGCAGAATGTCAGTGTCTCCATTACAAGACCACACTCTGTGGCTCCCTCTAGATGCAAAAACATCACCTTGGCTGAGCTTGTAGTGGAAAAGTAGGCACTGTGTTTGCCTTGGCGTATTTTATTTAGTTAGCTTCTATAAAAACAGGAAGACTGATGCACACTTAAATAAACAGGTGATTTGAGTTCCCCTCCACTGATTTCAGAATGGTTTGTATTCCTTTTTAATTTAGCAATGCATCTCAAGAGTAAAACCCCAAACATCCTTTGGTTGTTCTTGGAACCAAAACAGAAACAGGCAATATTTTGACAGGAAAGAACCAAATCAAACAGGCAGAGAGAAAACTAGCGCTCTGACAACTCCTGCATATCCCTTGCTTCTGCTTTACCTTTAGCAGAACATGGGGAATAAACTGTGAAAGTTAACCTCTGGTTACCTTTGTATTACCATCATTTCCTGAGCAATTCTTTTCTTTGAAGAGAAGAGTCAGAAGCCAGGAAGAAAACAACGGAGATGAGGACCCTAATTCTGGATTTTTGCTACAGCCTACAGAGAAGACCATACTGACTCTTAGCTATTTGTGCTCCGAGACTTTTTCAAAAACTGTATGGATGCTCTGCCTTCATTTTTTCCCATCTTGCCTTCTGAGTGCCCAGGGAAAGCAACTAGGAGTGTTTTAAAAGCATTTACAGAGGCAAGGGTTTGTATTTTTAGGAACAGCTTAATACTTGGCTCCTCTGAGCTATAGTGACCTATGTTTTAAGCAGCTGATTACCTTTCTGTCTTCCTTTTAGCTGCTATGATGTGGACAGTTGGAATGGCAAAGCCAGACACAGCAGCAAGAAGACCAAGTCAGCAGACATGGGACACAGGTTTGCTTGCATGTCATTCTTCTATACAGAGCACTGTCCCATGGAAATAATGTGCATGTTTGAGACTGCAAGTAAATGTAAGCCCCTGAATCCTGATGGATGCATATTTTTTTCAGTGTTGTTAAATTGTCCCTGCTGATGGCAGGGGGGTTGGAACTAGATGATCTTTAAGGTCCCTTCCAACCCAAGCCATTCTATGATTCTATGACCATTCTATGAAATTAGTTGCAGAACTCAGTGATGTTCTGAAACCTGCTGTTTGGACTGGCAGCAAAGATGACCAGACAATGTAGGAAGCTCCAGTATTCAGGCTGCCTTTATTTAAAAAGCAAACAAACGACCAACCAACCAAAAACCATACAAAAGTGTTGTCCAATACAGATCTTCATATATACTGAAGTCAAAGCTGAAAGTGAGTGTGTGTGGGTTTATATTTTTGCTAGCTGGGGATGGTAAATTACAACATAGGCTCAATAAATATAATGCCAATGAGCTGGTGAACTTAAGTTCATTGCAGTGTGTTGCATTCAGGCCACTGCCACGGAGCAGATGTGCCTTTATGTAGCTTAAGTGCTCTATGGCTTACCCTGAAGAAAGAAAGAAAATGAATGTCTTTACATTTACCCTTGGGTAAAGGCTTCTGTTTGGGCAGTTACACAACAGTAACTAATGTGTTCCAGGTTTACATTCTAGCTGGTCCTGTGGTAATTTTCATGCCTTGGCTTTTATCTTCTTGAAATGCAAGTTAAACTGCAGTTTTGAAGGTTACTGAATAAAATCTGACTTGTGGTGTTGAGAGGATTTCCCATCTGGTCCTGTTGCACTTCAGAGATGACAGTACTTTTTATGTTGAAGTAATAAATGTATGCTAAGGCTTGATAACTGAACACGCTGCTTATTTTAGGATAAAGCTGACATACTAACAAACTGCAGAGACACAGTCCTGCTTTGAAACTGGGCTCAGAGCAGGCACAGACTACATGCTGAGGCATACAGAATGCCTCTGTGGAAGCTGTGTGTGTCCCAGATCGCAGCCTGCTTGTATCTGCAGTGGCAGCATCCCATCAGACTGATGTGGAATGGAAAGTTTGTATGAGTGCTTCTGAAAAAAAGGAACTGTCAGATGGATTAATATATCATAGACTGGCTGATTCCAAAAGCACTATCAAGGGCTCTGTTAGATGTGTTTAACAGGACAAAAAAATTTTTAAATCTGTGAACAACTAGATGTGTCCACTTACTACATGTGGACACCCAGCCCCAATGTCAATGTGACTCAGGGCAGAACTTTTCTCATAAATGGCAGTCCTCTTAGTCATCCGTTTTTGTCATACTACCAGCTGAGGAACACCTGAGCACCTCCACCCCAAAGATGTAATGCTGTGGGAGTGCGTATTAAGTTTACTTGGTTTTACTTGTCATTCTAGCCTGTGCAGAGCAATGCGTAGTTCTGCATATGTACTCACTTGTTAAAGCCATTGAACTCCTGGGTAGCTGCCAAAGAAGCTGTGAACATGTACCCTTCTGACTCTTTCAAATCATAGCACACATGTTTTCCTCAAAGCCACTAAATGTCTCTGCTTGAGCTGGCCCTGATGATCACACCTTCAAGAAACAAAGGGCTTACCCATTCCAGAGAAGCTTCACAGAAGTGTGGATTTCAGACATTAAAATGAGTTATAAATGTAGCTACCTCTTGTGTTTCTTTTTTTTTTTTTTGTCTGCTCTTCTTGGCCTATTTTTGTGGAACCAAGATGAGGATGGGAGAGAGAACCACCAGAGCCCTTCACACACAGACTCTCAGATGTCAGAGACGAGGAGTCCTGTTGCAACTCGCCCCATCACTTCTTTTGAGGAGCTTGAAGAGGAGGAAAGTAAGGGAAGCTTCATACCTTGTTTTCAGTGTAGTCAGAGCCTGATGTTTTTATTCATTCTGGTTAACACTCTGTAACCCAATTTGGCCTTATCACACTTAATTTGAAGAGCTGTGACTTGTTGAGCAACAAAGGTCTTGAGTCTGACACTGTATTACTTCTTGCTGCTGCAGTATGTCTTCTGAGATGGTGGTTCCAGTGACATCTCTTGGCTATGCAGACAACTTAAGGAGGAACCTTCACCTGCCCCCCTGGGGACAAAAATTTGTTCAAGAGGAAGCTGAACAGGAGGAGCAGAAGTAATGCTTGTTTTCTTTCTCCACTTCTCCCAGGGGGTGTGAAGCTGGGCCTTGGAGACTTCATATTTTACAGTGTGCTTGTTGGGAAAGCAGCTGCCACAGCTAGTGGAGACTGGAATACTACACTGGCCTGCTTCGTAGCCATTCTCATAGTAAGTGAGCAAGCTTTTAAAAACTCCCATTACACCCTGTTTAGCACAGTGGTGCTGCCAGAACTACCAGCAGCTGCTGAGCACTGCTAAATCTCTGCAGGTAATGTGCTAGGTGTTTAGGAGAAGCCACCAGTGGAGTGCTCTGTCTCTAGAGACAGGCTTTAAACAGCCACTGGGAGAAGCTGAGTGATAGAGGCTGGGAGGGAGGACTGCTCGGAGCAGAGCCAAGTGTGGGCATGGTGGGAGTGAAACAGCCCCAGGGAAAACAGTAACAGCTGAACTGTTGGAGTGTTTGCTTCAGTGTTAAAGACTGGGGACTTCTGTCAGCCACAAGAGTCAATATTATGAACTCCACAATGATTAGCAAGTGTAGTTAAAAAGGTTAACTCCCTTTTGCTACAGAGGCAAATATGGCTAAATAAGAGGATGAAGACCTGTCTTGTTTTTGTGTTCACACTGGAAAAAACAGGAAGGAAAGAGACTTAAAAATCCATGGAAATAACCAGTAAAAGCAGATGACAATCATACTAACTGCTAAAGGACTTGGTCCTGCCAGGTCTAATGACCACACACTGTTAAGCTTTCATCTAGGTAGAAAATAATTACTAGGAACTTGCTATTTACACCAGCATCCTCATGGAAACTAACCAGAAGGGCAATGGCAGGAGTTTTATTATCCCATCCTTGGACCTCCATTTCCCCACTTAGATCCCAAGGATAGCGAAATACAGTGACTTTCAGTTGTGAAGATTATGGATCAAAAAGTACAAGAACTAGAAATGAGCTAACTTAAATAAAGAGCATTGAGGGTACCTTTCCTGCCTCACAGGTCAGAGAAACCTATAGGATCACCTAGCTCCAAATCCTGGATCCCTTTGCTGGGGAGAATGCTCTTGCTTGTCTGTCCATGAGGCCAAATGCCCCATTCTGTTTCTTTTATGGTGCTGGTAAAATTTTTGGAGCATAGTGTCTCAGGAGTTTTGTCATCATGGAGGACTTAAGAAGGGCTCAGATGAGAGAAGGAATCCACACCTAAATGTACTTAGCCATACTGGCTACCCAAAATGTACAAAAGCTTTCACACCTGCTCCAAAAAAACAGATCTTGGCCTGCTATCCAGATAAAACCAGGATTCACCTATTGCAGTTAGCAATCCAGGCAAAAGAACACGAGTGGATGTTTTGTTTTGCTGTTTTGTTCTTTTTTTACCCTAAGAGACCTTGAAAATTGGGAAGGTGTTAGAAGTACATGCCGCTCTGTATGAGAGTCCTGCAGCGAAACTCCTTATCTGTGCAGTTCACCAGGATTTAAGTGCTTCTATCTGCTGCAGCAGTACTTCACACATAATGGCATGGAACAAAATGTAAAATAATCTCTAAATTAACCTCTCAGGGTCAGCTGTATGTCAGCAGCAGCTCTTTATGCCACTTTCTCAGCAAAGGCAATCCTGCTCAGGATTGCTGAAGAAAGTAGCTGTCCCACTTGTGTGAAAGATGAAGGTGTGGGCAAATGTATCTTATGCCACTGGTGGCCCAGGCAGGCTTCAGTTGCTGTACAGTGTCTATAGCTTATTATTTGTATATTAGTTTGCTGATGACAGATATGTTTCTGGGCTTCTTACTGTATCTCCTTGTGTTTTTTTTCTTCTCTCTGGCAGGGTTTATGCTTAACTCTTCTATTATTGGCTGTTTTTAAGAAAGCACTGCCTGCCCTTCCCATCTCCATCACATTTGGCTTGGTCTTTTACTTCTCCACAGACAACCTTGTGCGACCATTCATGGACACCCTGGCCTCCCACCAGCTCTATATTTAGAAGAAGTGTGAATTAGAGGATTATTTTTAAAGCTTTGCTATGAAGTATGGTACACTGTCTGGAATAAGTCATGGAAGTTTTACACTTAGTGCCATATATTTGTAAGGCAAACACTAACTCTGTGACATGATGTGTCTTAAAAATCTAGTAGTTAGGGTGTTGAACTGAGATTTTTTTCACAGGACCCCTGGACTCCAGTGAAATGCCTGGCTCATTGCTGATGTCAGAACATTACTTTTATGTTAACTGATGTGCACACTGGCTGTTGTGAGCACAGAAACCTGTAAAAGGCATGGGACACTGGAGAGGTGAAGAGTCTGATCTGTTCTTCCAGAAGTTCAGGTGTTTTAGCCCTGGAATTACAGTCAAGTTTAACTGTACTCTAGAATTGCTAACACTTCATGCTTTTGAAGCGTTGTGCAAACATGAGGTGCAAGTAAGTTGTACTTGCAATCACAAAAGCATCGCAGTCATCATGCACAGAACTGAGCGGTGTGTTACACCTGGTTGTGAGCATCAGAGAAGTGAAGCTGAACTTCATAAGCCTCTGTGCACACAACTTCTGTTGAAATTGCCCCAAATGCCTATTTATTTTGACCTTAGACATAGTGAGCCATAGCATTCCAGTGCATCAGATCCTCAGCGTGGGAAAACAAGATACTTTTCCCTGTCTTCCCCCAGCATTTTATCTTTTTGGAAATCTTTTTCTGGGTCCAGACTACAATCCTGAAATTACCATAAGGTGGAAATTACTGCACAACTCCAGTAAATCAGTTGACCTGTAACTTGTGTGTATTTCTGGTCTCATTTCTGTAACCTCTCCAAAGGAGGATTTACCTGCCTTTTATGAAGAGGTCCTCTTAGACTGATTGAGACTTGGTTTACCTAGTTTTTCGTAGTTTAAAGATTGTTTTTTTAATTACAAATTTTAAAATAGTTATTTACTGTCAAAGGGACTCTTTTGGAAATACCCTGTCATAGTTTGTATCAAAATATGGGGGTCCAAACTTTAATCTGCTGTTACATTACTCTACATAAGGCATTGTTAATGCTAGGAATACTTACACAGCCTCAAGGGAGTTCATTTAAAAAAAACCCAAACAACAGAGCTTGTTGCCAGTAAAAAATACAGGTCTGACTGAACCTTACTGTTTTCTCTACCTTTTAAAATAATTTTATTTCTACCCCAAGAGTCATTTTTTTAGAAACAGCCAAGTACTGTGATTTTTTTCTTTTCTTTTGAGTGTCTGTTACGCAAACAAGCTGTTTTCTTTGACAGCTGATCAATGTCAGTGTTTCAAAATGTAACATTATGCAAGGTTTTGTGAATAATGCAATGTCATTGAGAGATGCAGAATTTAACCTCTGAAAATACTTTTTAGATAAGGCTTTGAACTATGTATTTTTAAGGTAGTGCTTTTTTCCAATAGACTTGTTCAGGCTAATCTACTTTGATATTTAACAAGGACATCACACAGGTGACTCAAAAAAATTTTTAACAAGCATGTAAGGATTTTTACAAGTTGTGTGTGTCTCAGTTTGGACAAGTAAGTGATTTTTGCTCTTTGTTTAGTTTTTTGTCCCATTTCTTACATTTGCAATGTTTGGACTTAGCTGCAGACAGTTAATTATTACTAAAAGGTATTTCCTTTGGAAATGTAAATCATGAACTCTGTCTGCTGATTTTTAAGGTTTATGTGAGAGTTAGTTTTTATTTTTGTTTGTTCATTGTTTTGTTTGGGTTTGTTTTTTTGGGGTTTTTTGTTTGGTTTTTTTTAAAACTAAACCAGTTATGGCGCCAAATCAGAACACAGTCACTTGCAAACATGATTTTACTTTTAGCATTGCATGGTGTAGAGAGGATGTGAAATATTTATATGTACTAGAAGAAAAATCCTGCTTGGCTTAACAGGGTTGTAGCATATTGTTAGAAACAATTTATTTCTGTGAAAGCAGAATTGATGTTTGAAGGAAACTGGGGGGTACCTTCAAATATTGAAGTATTGCTACTGGAGCTGGTGGTTCTCTGCAGATTTGTGCTTGCCAAAGATTGGCCTTCCACTAGGCAATTCTGCATAACTTATAAAAACTGTAACTTAAAAGGTAACTAAACAACAGATTCTGTCAATGCAACAAAATGTATTGTCCTGGTGAGTGATAGGAGTATATCATGTATATACTGGACTGGTTTTATTTGTGTAAAAGTTCATATGTATTTACTACAAATATATATATATTTACTGTGTGTGTATATACACACATACACACAAGTTTTAAAATGATACTGAATGATTTCTCATCTCATTGGACATTTTCAGCTGTGCATAAAGTGAAGTTTTGTTTGTGATGTTAACATTGTGCAGCATAGCCTAACGTGAAAATGGAGAGGGCAGGATTTACTCTACTCCCTAGTTGGCTACTACATGAGGTATTGACTCGGTGACCCGGCAACTTGAGTGAGCAAAGCATTTGTCTGTCTACTACATTCAATCCCTGTTTTCACAGTTGCTGCTTGTGCTTATTGCTGTGTTTCCTCTGGGCACTTCATTGTTGCTTTTAGTTTCGATTGCTTTGGGGATGTTTTGTTTATAGTGTCTACTGTGCTTCAGAGATTAGAGATTCATTCTGCCCACAGAGAGTGCGCAAGAAGCAGCAAAGACATAAAGAAAGTGCAAGGAACAGGACACTCCTTGCAGAACCATGCAGTGCTTCCACAGCAGCTCTCATCAGGTATGCCAGGTCTCATTCATAAAACCTAACTTCAGGCTTTTAAGGGAAATCCCTCAGAAAGGAGTCAGTCTGTGCTAGAAATGTCATCCTCTGGTTCACAGAGAGGAAAGGACACATTTGCAGTATGAGGTGTCTCAGCAAGAGCTTTATAAATGCTGCTGAAGCTGGGTTAGTAGATACAGCAAGGCCATAGCACACATCTACCACAGTCAGGAAACGGAGCAGTGGTCTGCTTTCCCATACCTTCTTTGCACCAGTTGCTAGTGAAGTCTCCTCCACAGGGCTATCGGATGAAGTTAGATGGACCATCTGTCTCTGAGTAAATGGCGCTCACTGATGGGACTCTGGTGAAGAATAGCTCAAGGCTCACTGTCCTTGCAAAACAAAGTATTTGGAGGTCTCCTTGCTACTCCCAAACCAGTAAATTTCTCTGCTTTTTTCTTGCCTTCCTAGGTACTAGCAGTTAATCACATGGTGTTTTCTGCCTTCTTCCTTATAACTCAAATTGCATTTTGGTTTAAATTGAAGATACAGTTATTTTTTCTTTATTGTTACACTCTGTCCCTGCCTGGTCTCCTTGTTTCTGCATTAGAGATGCTCCTTGGCAGCCACGGGAGGGCAGTAAGTCTATATGGAGAAGTACCATCCATTTTAAAGTACTCTGCTCTGTACCCCCTGTTTTTCAATGAGGCTGAAGGCCCTGGAGTCTCCCTCATGGCATGGAGAAAGCAGGCACCCCACATGCCAGCACAGCTGTGCTCTCACCACAGCTGGGACAGGCTTTGAGTGAGAGTGAGCTCAGGCTGTACCTGAATCCATTTAAAACCAGCTGGTCTCATTGTGATGCCACGTTCAGCACTGCAGCTCTGGCTGAGGTGCTGCCCTTACATTGCACAATCCATTTTGTAATTTTGTTTGGGTCACTCCACCCCCCCCCCCCCCCCTTTTTTTTTTTTTTTTTAAAAAAAGCATTCAGCCCTAGTTTCAGTCCTACAAACGCCAAGCATGAGTCAGGGGCTCCTCCAGACATCACTAAATTAGATTATCTTCTGAGCATCTTCAAGAAGCAAAGGAATAATTATACTTACTGCTTTGTCATTCCTCCTCTCACTTGCAGCCTCCTGTTCTATTCCAGCAGGTTTTGCTAATCTGGGGGAAAAAAGAGCACGCAGCTGTCATTCCAGCTCTTGGCACTGGGGAATCTAGGGTCTAGCTAGATCATGTTGTCTGTCAGAAGGACCAGGGGCTATTTGGTTTTCTTGAACTCGGATGTTTTATAAAAAAGCAGCCCGAACAAATGTGGTATCTTTGCCAGAACTTATCCTACCACACTATTCATACACCCCCTAACACACTGTTGCATCTCTCATTGAATTTATCCTTACTTCCCCTGCCCCCAGTAAGGTAAAGTGATGTGAGCTGTTCCCATTCTACACATGGGAAACAGAGCAAGAGTAAGAGCGTAAATGCTGGCTTTAAGCTTGGTTACATAAAGATGTGCCCACATCAGATCAGGATATCAAACAGGATCACACAAGTCACTGTAACTTCTTTTATGTCCTTCCTTTGCTGTAGGTTTGCTATCACCCATCTTCTCCCACTCTAAATTCAAGACATTTGCCCTGAGCACTCAAGGAGTTAAGTGAAGATGAACTGTTATCTTCTCCTTTATGTGACACACTTGTTTGACAGTTGCCCAAGAGCTCAATTTGGGAGATGTCAGTGCTCAGCACTATTTATGGCTCAGTATTAAAAAGATATAAATAAATAGAGTCTTTGGAGTGGAACTAGCTAAACTCCTTGATATAGAAACCTCAGACAGGTACAGGGACAAGTAGCTGGAATGGAAGTTTTCCAAAACTGGGAACTGTTTCAGTCCTATCAAATGAGCTTGAACTAAGTGACAGCTCCCAAGGCCAACTCAGGATTAGGTCTGTGCAGAAATAAACGGTGTGAAGCCTGGCACTCCCAACCTGCTTTGCAGGGCCTGAAGAATCAGAAGGGGGCAGAGTAGGAAAAGCATTAGGCCTATTTTCACCTATATCATTGGTTTCCTATGATTTCAGGGAGACCTTGCTCACCCTGGTATAAAATGCGAGTAACTCCACAGCTAACTTGCATTTTAGCAGAGTAGGAACAATGCAAAAAGTATGAGAGCAAGTGTGGAAAACTGATCCAACCTTTTATGCCATGCCATCTTCAATCTTTACAAAGCTAAATATAAGCAATTACAATTCTCCCTGACTTGGCAGAGCTGCCATCTATTTCTGAAAGAATCCAAGCCTTCCTTCCAAACTGGTGTAAGACAGGCAAGATCCCTGGAGCCGAAGGTAGGTATTCAGGATTATTTTTAAAGCT